CTGGTCCTACTGTGCCCAATAGTTCTTTTTTACAAGGCTTAAGCTAGACACCTTCTTCCAAGCAGGGCACAAAACACTTGCCTTTAGAAAATCAATTACTGTCTTCAAATCTTGGTATTTCTCCTGCTCTGATTTAATATCTATATCTGGTTCCATTTCACCATCATCAACTCCTTCAGTCACTTTGACTTCAGCTTGATGACACCTGGTTAGTTCAACCTCTCTTTTAACACTTACCGGAATTTGGCCTTTGTTGTTCCCAAACGTAATTTATCAAAATTAATTACACACTTCCTCGGTAGTAAGTAGTCCAACCCTAGTACGCATTGGTCTTCAATATCAGCCAAGTATATTTTGTGTCTCTCCTTTATGCCCATGAGCTCAATAGTTACCCATACTGGTCTCCACAACCTTGCATAATGTCCTGTCACACCACACAGCTTCTGCGTGGCTTCTGGTACTACTTCGTGATCTAGCATCTTGATACTCACGAGGATTTGCTGAGATGCAGAATCTTTGACAAAGTTGCACCTTTTGCCATCCAGTTTTCCTGTCGCGTAGACATTATGTGTGCTTGGCATTATACACTTAGCTGTTGGGATTTTCACAATTGGGGTTGGTAGGCGTCCATCAACATGAACCACTACTGGTTTCCTTGAGGCTGACTTATTGGTAATATTCTTCTTACACTGGCTCCTCATATGTCCTTGCTCTCCACAGTTCCGACAACCTTTCTGGGAAGCTGCCTTTCCTGCCATGGCATCTTCCCTGTGTTGAAGTCTCCAGCATTGAGATTTCTTGTGCCCAGGTTTGTTACAACGCCAGCAAAGTCCCTCAAACCTCTCTGAAAGCTGACCTTTTCTGGCCTTGAATCCTGATGACTGTACCAATCTTGGTACCTCTGTGCTGGACTTAACGTAAGATTCAAATTCAAAAACTCTGACCATTGCATCCTGCATAGTAGAAGGGTGTGCTTGCTTTATTTGTATCTTCAGTTGTGGACTGTCCAAGGCATCTACAAACTGATCTCTCAGCAACAACTTGAGGACATCGTGTGGCACAGTTGGATAAGCCTTGTGTGCCATACTTTTTAAATCCTGTGCCAGCTCTTGCAGACTCTCCCCTTTAGCACGGACTCTCATTCTAAACCTAGCCCTGTTGACTTCAGACTGATTTTGGGTTCCAGTCTGTGGCTGATTAAGTCGATGGTTAATGTATCCACCTTGTGTAAAATACAATAAATCATCCTTTAATGTATTTAATTCGCTTTGAAATTTACTAATGTTTTCCATTTGTGTACTCTGGCTTTTTCTCAATTGTTGGAGACTTTCTTGTTTATTTATTTTCTCCTCCATCCACTGCTGTAGTCTTTCTTCTTGTTCATTTTCTTTCTCCTCCAACCACTGCTGTGGTCTCTCTTCTTGTTTATTTTCTTTTTCCTCCAACAACTGCTGTAATCTCTCTTCTTGCTTCTTTTCTCGTTCTTCTTGTTTCTTTTCTTTTTCCCTCCAACAACTTTTGTAATCTCTCTTCTTGCTTCTTTTCTCGTTTTTCTTGTTTCTTTTCTTTTTCCTCCAACAACCTTTGTAATCTCTCTCTCTTCTTCCTTCTTTTCTTTTTCCTCCAACAACTGCTGTAATCTCTCTTCTTGTTTCTTTTCTCGCTTTTCTTGTTTCTTTTCTTTTTCCTCCAACAACTGTTGTAATCTCTCTTCTTGTTTATTTTGCTGTTCGAGCTGCCACTGTTGCAGGTTTTCTTGCAACTGCTGTTGTCTCTCTCTCTTGTTTCTTTTCTCGTTCTTCTTGTTTCTTTTGCTTTCTTGTATTGCTGCCATCAAATCTGCTGAGTGTAGTTTGATTTGTCACCTCTCGTTTCCATCTTCTTCTTCTTTTTTTTTATTTTCCTCCCCACTTCTGACACCAATTTGTTACGTCTCTGGTCGTTTGTTAATTTCCCGTATAATTTCTTTCGGATGAAACTTTAGCGATACAAGTCCTTTCTTAAAGAAAACTAGTTGATGCTATTCCATCAAAATCAAATGTTTTCATAACATAGGATAGGTTATACATGTATTTTAAAGATAATTAGTAGAACATAAATGAATTACCGAAAAAGTCAATGTTCCGCATTTAATTGAACTAAATCCAAGTTTTTACTTTACTTTATAGCAATGTTTGTTTGTTTGTAGTTAAGCACAAAGCTACACAAAGCTACTGTGCTCTGCCCACCGCGGGTATCGAAACCCGGTTTCTAGCGTTGTAAGTCCGCAGACATACCGCTGTGCTACTGGGGGGTACTTTATAGCGATGGCAAATACAGTAAAAACCCAATTACCCTGTTGAACATGCTTCCTGTAATGTTTGGTAGTCAGCAGAATTTTAGGATATGCTATTTCTCTACCCCCTATTTTTTCATTTTCCTAAAACATATGGATATTACGAAAGAATCATGTAGCTAAAAGAGATGAAAATTACCACAATACTAGAAAATATAAAGATAATTATGATATATGTTATAACTTAAGAACGAGACGACATAATTGAAGAATAAGGAGTGAAGGCAGGAACTTAAGTACCATACCATACTAAACAGAGCAAGTTATCTTGCTTAATTCGGACGATAAGTTCAAATGATAAGTTTTCTATTTGCCTCCAATCTGTATAGTTCTGCATAAATTATTGAATAACAAGCTTAGCGCTCGGACTGTGCCCCTTCCGGCTGCGCTCTGGGCAGCTGCTTCTTCCGTCCTACCCTAGTTATGGCTCTGGGTCTAACACATAATGCCTGCAAGAAAGCATAGCTTAAATGGCGCGCGTGAAAATGATAGAATAATACTACCTTCGCCACCCTTGGTCTTCAAACCCTCCCGTCAATTGCCAACCCCTAAAAGCAATGCCAGTCTCAACACAACATTTCTCAGAAACGTCCATTTATCCTTTACGCCAGAGGAAATTCATCAAGCCCTCGAAACTACAACCAACTCTACGATCCACGCAGTCCACCGTATCCCATCAAAGAAATCAGGTTCACCCTCCACTTTCATGAAAGTTGTCACAACTTCCAAGATAACCGCAGACTCCATCCTCAGAAAAACCATACCTTTCCTATCCCACCCCCAAGCCCACGTTCCACAACACCCAAAAGAAAACCACCGCCAACCAGTACTCTACCGCCCATCCTATTACAATTGACCAGGCTACTCAAATTTCACCCACTCCTGAATCACAAGACATGTCAACCCAAACCACCACTACAAGGAGAGAAAAAGGCACCCAGACCCAGTCGCGAGTCTTTCCAGTAACCAACGACGCTTATCAGCAAACCAGCAACCCCCCTCTCAGCCCTGTGCCACTTTCAACGTCATCGTCGTCAATCTCACCAAACGCTCTAGTAATTGACACCTTCCCCGACCTCTACCTACTCGATGAACCTTTCTGTGCCCTCCGCCCACTCACCAGCGATACCGAGGACTTCACACCTTTAAAACCATCCCGTAACCGGAACCTGTACCCCAATAAAACCATGGCGAACATCGGGAGAATCCACAACTCATTCAAAAGTTAATCAACCCCCAGCACCGGACTTCACTTTGCCTTCCCTACTTACTTCTTCTCGCTAACCGAGCACTGGTAACGGATTGGCCGTTACCAGTGAAAGTAGATTTTCTCGGGGTACTCACGTTTCCCCCACATTAAATTCTCGGCATAGGATTTATAGATCCCCGTCGCCCTGATGGACCATCTGTCCTATATCGACCGTTTAGTTTGTTTGTTTGTTTTTGAATTTCGCGCAAAGCTACACGAGGGCTATCTGCGCTAGCCGTCCCTAATTTAGCAGTGTAAGACTAGAGGGAAGGCAGCTAGTCATCACCACCCAC